GTTCCTTCACTACTCATTATATACACCTAAACAATACACATCCGTGTCCCTTCGTTCCTTTACTACTCATTATATACACCTAAACAATACACATCTGTGTCCCTTCGTTCCTTTACTATTCATTCTACACTTTTGACGTCCATGGATGTGGGTTATTCTGATTGCCACATGGTTTGAACCCTTGTAACATTTTTCTCTAGGGCTATTCTAAAGAAATACCTACACTGTACAAGACTTTAAGGACGCAGTAAAGTCAGGTGTACGGAACAGAACTTCCCACCGTAAGGCTTACAGCGATGCGTCACATGATCACAGGAAGGCAGATATGTTGCCACCTGTCGTCGTTATGTGACTTACCGTAAAATTCATCACTGATGTAAATATCGTTAACTAGCTTTGGGAAGAGCTTGATGAGTCGCTTGGCCAGTTCAGCGTGGATAGAAGTGGACAGCAGAAGACAGAGGTGGAGAATCGTTTCTCCAACCGACCCACACTGACTCAAGTCCCAGCATACCTCACGGCACTTCTCGAATCCTGTAGAAAGAAGAAACTTATTGTTTTATTCAAAATATGAGCACCATGAATCGTAAAGACTCTTCAGCAACGTCGTGATACAGACATGTCTAGCTACAGACGTCACGAAGAGTGTGACGTTATTATGTTGAATAATACTTATACAACATCTGACGTCACAGCTAACAATAATGACGTCATTTCTGGCAGCCTTTAAAGTTATTCAATTTTAAGGTTATGACCCTGCATACGAAATTTGATTCTTTTTGATTGAACGTTTCATGAATTACGGCGCGACATCCTTTTATCCTTATATTTGGTAATAAAAATGACGTCACTTCCAGCTGTCTTTCAAAAATGGGTTTCCATGAAATTTTACCTTTCCAGTTAAAACCATCTATAAACTATCCCGAAGGATACAAAGTAATCTATCTCTATCCCACATGTTCATCAGCCAATCAAATGTTTACTTCACGTTTCGTCTGAATCGTTCCTTGTCAGAGGTAAGTTTAAGGACTTATCACAGTGTTCGATCTCCCGCGGTGAACCGAGCGTAGATAGTTCACTGAAAAGATTTCCACTAAAATTACAACATCATCTAAGCCAATAAATAAACGATTATCCAACAATATTTTATCCAAAAAAAATATAAAAAAAAATAAATGCAAATATTTTTTATATATATACAGTTTTTAAACGATCCCTTACTGATGATCATACGACTGAGGGCGTATTTACATTACTTTCAAATTCTGAAGCCTATTCCAATACCTAAATATGTAAGCATTTTACTTTATTGATAACTATAGAGAATTATATGTTTTCTTTGTCTCTGACTTACTTGTTATATTTATACACTATATATATTATATTTTTATTTAAAATTCGATAACTATTTTTTTCAGGAGTTATTCGGGTTTTCTACGTCGGTTTTGTGTTGTTTTTTTTTTTAGGTTTAAATCTTATAGCAACAAGTACCAATAACTGAAAAATTATAAATTGATATTTATTATAAGCAAACAAGTCTTTTATTTTTAACCCTAACCGCTAGGTGGCTTTTCCTGAATATTTCCCACAATCCGCTAAAGTAGGTTTTTATAACGAGTGTTAACCACTTACAATAAAAATTCGTCCTAGCTTACTAAGCATGCAATGCATTTATTATTTTGTAATTTAATTCAGAATTCACGCGCAACGTTTCCATGGCGTCAAATAAGACTGCATATCGATTTTAAAGATAGATTACTGCAACCGTCTGAGGTGAGTAAGATTTTTCACACGGAAGCAATTTACACTGCAACAAAGTTCAATGACTGAAAAACTAAATGACAAACCAAAAAACGGCACGTAAAACAAGTTAGGTCAACAGTTTAGTTCGGTCCCAGTTACTGCCTTGAATCCGAGGGTTCAAGGTTCGCGTTTAATTGCCTTAAAAACGCGCTCTGCACGTTGTGGTCGTTTACTTTTTAATTTCGCGCAAAGCTACACGAGGGCTATCTGTAAGACTAGAGGGAAGGCAGCTAGTCATCACCACCCACCGCCAACTTTTGGGCTACTCCTTTACCAACGAATAGTGGGATTGACCGTAACATTATAACGCCCCCACAGCTGAAAGGGCGAGCATGATTGGTAGGACGTGGATTCGAACCCGCGACCCTCAGATTGTGAGTCGAGCTCCCTAACCACCTAGTCATCTTTGTGGTCGTGGGTATCGACACTGTCTACACAGAAGTTTCAATGTGGCACATTACAGGAAGCATGGAATGTCATGACAACGAGACACGTTGTCTAGACACGTACAGGGATAAATGATAACTAAATTCGTTAATAAAATTTCAAGTCACGATTTATAAGATTGCTTTTTTGTATAATAAGTTGAATACTTTATTTATAAATATAAATAAATATTTATTATAATAACTTCAACATTTTAATTATATTCAGCGGGATATAACCACAGATGGCGCTGATATAGTATTTCTATGCGTGTGAATATCGCGTGGAGGTTGGTCGTGCAAACAGAGCAACGTTCACAATTAGACTTCGTATATTATAAACTAAATTATTTTTTTTATTTTTACGTATACGTGTTACACATCTCTTAATAAGCCACGCTTCTTGCTGCGTCACTAACTTTCCCCAGTTTAAATCAATCGACAAGACACCACCATAAGGCGCCATCTTATCAAAACAAAAAACACGACGCCCGTTAAACCTGATGCTCCCTTTTCTTGTAGTTCTGTTTCCTTTAAATCTCGTGCTTTCACATGTGTTCGGCCGCGGAGGGTGCTCAAGGTCTGAATGCACTCACGGATTCAGTGTTAGGCATACAATCCCCCCCCCCTTCCCCTGCCGATTAGAGTATTACGTAACACCATTTTATGAAAATACACACTGAGTGGTGACCAATCACATTGCTTCCTCCACAGAGTCGACCACTATGTTCATAACCATAATATTTTATATAATATATATATATATCGTGCTTTGAATAAAAATCAATTGAACAGCTGTTATTGGACTTTTAAAATTAACCACACACACACACACACACAAAGACAACGTCCTTAATACACAGTACACATTGCAGTACAGCGGTAAGTCTTCGGACTTATAACGCTAAAAACTGGATTTCAATACTCGTAGTGGGCACAGTACAGATAACCCATTGTGTAGTTTTTGTGCTTAACTGCAAACGAACGAATGTATAGTCAGAATACGACAAATAATTCAAATTTAAACTGGGAATTTTCACTTAGTGTAGGTAAGAAATAAAGGAATTTTCTGAACTTTGAAGGGAACATCTATCTAAAGTTGTAAAGCATATGTACAAATTAACGAAAGTTAAACTACCTAATATAGTGTATAGTAGCCCCGTTATCCTGAACATGTTGCATTGAATTTCATGAGTTGGGAACAGTGTAAATCGTACGATCGAACCTCGTGAGATATTATTGGGATTATGACCGAAAATGTCGTTAACAACCAGGTAATCCAACTGATGAAACAATACACTATAATATTTATAAGTAAGAGCATAAGAAATGTATATTTAATTAGCTGTACTTATTACTAGGCTGGTTGAATTTTAGTTTGGCTCTGAGTAAGTAGTTACTGTGATAGGAAGTTAATATGAATAATTATTAACACAGAATTAATAAAAAAATCATGCAAAGACATTACTGCACCACACTGGACAGTCTGAATGTTTGAGTTTTGGTTTCCGTTGTGGAATATTTAGCTACACTGGAAATTGAACTTCCACGTCTCGCAGTTGAACAACCAAACCTGCACGTGGCAATATCGATCTAATTACTAGAATAGCAACATGTAATTCAACTCGTATTGTTCTCTTTAGGTTCTCATGCGTGTGGCATATAACGGCCTCAGGAGAATATAAACTTTAGTTGAAAACTATATTGATATGAGATGACAAAGACACTTGAGTAAACAGAGGTAAGTAGTCCAGAATACAGGTTTATAAACAAGGACACTTGAGTAAACAGAGGTAAGTAGTCCAGAATATAGGTTTATAAATAAAGACTCTTGAGTAAACAGAGGTAAGTAGTCCAGAATACAGGTTTATAAACAAAGACTCTTGAGTAAACAGAGGTAAGTAGTCCAGAATATAGGTTTATAAATAAAGACTCTTGAGTAAACAGAGGTAAGTAGTCCAGAATACAGGTTTATAAACAAAGACTTGAGTAAACAGATTACTGATTTAAGTAGTCCAGAATACACGTTTATAAACAAAGACTCTTGAGTAAACAGATTACTGATTTAAGTAGTCCAGAATACAGGTTTATAAACAAGGACTCTTGAGTAAACAGGGTAATGAAGTACAGAGGTTTTTATACAAGGAGTTTTTGCTACATATCGACTTAAGTTTCCGGGTGGTTAGTAAACGATTTAATAACGTGACTAATATTGGAAAAACGAAACTTCTCAGTTCACCTGAAAAAGGTTCTTCTTTTTACTGCGCTTTACTGGATGATGGTACTATGATATTCACGTGAGAAAGTGACGTCTAGTCTGTCCACAAAGCACACGTTTACATAAATTTAGCACAAACCTGTGAAATGTCTTGACGTCATTAAAACCCAAGTTGCAGAAGATGTTTCTGGATGGGGATTTTCTTACATATAAAATGTAAATAATATATGCAAGATTCTAGCATTTATATATGCAATTAGTTGTCTATATGGATAGAATTAAAACAGATGTACTTCTGTTGTACAACACATTGTTCAACATACAGGTGTACTTCTGTTGTACAACACATTGTTCAACACACAGGTGTACTTCTGTTGTACAACACATTGTTCAACACACAGATGTACTTCTGTTGTACAACACATTGTTCAACATACAGGTGTACTTCTGTTGTACAACACATTGTTCAACACACAGGTGTACTTCTGTTGTACAACACATTGTTAAACATACAGGTGTACTTCTGTTGTACAACACATTGTTAAACATACAGGTGTACAACACATTGTTCAACACACAGGTGTACTTCTCTTGTACAACACATTGTTAAACATACAGGTGTACTTCTCTTGTACAACACACAGGTGTACTTCTCTTGTACAACACATTGTTAAACATACAGGTGTACTTCTCTTGTACAACACATTGTTCAACACACAGGTGTACTTCTCTTGTACAACACATTGTTCAACACACAGGTGTACTTCTGTTGTACAACACATTGTTAAACATACAGGTGTACTTCTGTTGTACAAAACATTGTTCAACATGGTGAACTTACATACTTAGAAGACAACGAAGTAAAACAGTACATTGACAATGAATTCTCAGACATTATAGTCAGTATTGTTGTGGATAACATAGAACTGAATGGTTTAAGAACATATTTATATCAACAGATGTGAAATGTACGTTTTTTCCTCTTGTTTAATATCCGATATTAATTCACAGAATGTCCTTTACAAAGTACGTTTTGAAACACTTCCAATAACTATTTAAACTTTCATTACTTGGATGGTTAGACGTATTAAAGCGTTTACAGATAAAAAAAAATACAATCGAAGCATGACATATTACCGGGGAAGTCTTAAAACTGACACTATTTAGTGACTGATTGTGGCGCTCGGCGGGAATGAAAACCGTTAGTTCACCTAGCAACCGAAATAACAGGTGCTAAAGAGTTGTTTGTAAACATGAGACTGACGGGCTGAATGTGATGATATTGATTTATACAAAATAAAAATAAAGAATTAAACACTGGCGATATTATTATAGCGTCGACTTAACCAGTGATTTCTGACACCTTGATTAATGTGTGTAGTTGAGTGTCTATACTGAATCCCAGAACACCACCTGGTGATCAATACAAGAACGTATATATCTGTAAGACGACCAGCTGGTGTCTTCACAAAAAACATATAATAATTTATTAAACAAACCCAGTCAACAACATAAGTATATTTTTCTATCTATCAGCTTACCTTTATTACTGTTGGAGATCACTCCGTTACTTGTAGAGGGATCATCTTGACCTCTGCTGTCCTTTACAGAATTTTTACTGTTGACTCCTCTCTGTTGTGATAATTGTTTATGTCGAGGTCTCTCTTGGTTGCGTAGCAACACAAGCTCCGTGATAGGAACCATTCTACCTTCTCCTTTGTTGTAGAGAAATGGTTCTACCAGCTCTCTCATTCTTTCATCCAGCTACAAAGAAACAAATAGTTGTAAAAAGGTATACTGGGAGTTACTTTATCCTCAACAATCTCGTTGCTGAGTTTGTGTCGAGGTCTCTCTTGGTTGCGTAGCAACACAAGCTCCGTGATAGGAACCATTCTTCCTTCTCCTTTGTTGTAGAGAAATGGTTCTACCAACTCTCTCATTCTTTCATCCAGCTACAAAGAAACAAATAGTTGTAAAAAGGTATACTGGGAGTTACTTTATCCTCAACAAACTCGTTACACAATCCTTAAGATTGTGATGATCCGATCTGGTGACCAGAATTTGTTGTTTCAAGCTGGTATTAAAACTGGATGTATAAAAATGAGTCGATTATTCCAGACTGTGTAATATGTACATAAAACTAATAATGTTTACTAGGCTTTGGTCATTATTGACACACACACACACACCAGCTGAAGATCACAAACTTTACAATATTTTGTCCGTTCTGAAAACGATCATCAGAATATAATAGCCTGCTTCTCCAAAAAAAACAAAAAAAACAGATGGTAAAAGTATGGGTGATATTGGACAAAGTCATATTTAATAGTAGCAAATAAGCTCCTAAATACATCCCCCTCCCGGTAGGGCAACGGTGAGTTTACGGACTTATAACACCAAAAGTCCGGGGTTTGATTATTCGTGTTGAACAGAGCGCAGATTCCCTATTGTGTAGGTTTTCGCTAATTATTATTTATTGTTGGAAGTTATCTGTAACATATGCATTGTTTTCTGACTTTTTTTTTTTAATTTAACAAGAACTTTTTCTTCGTTCTTATGATACACATACTGACATCGCCTGTAAAACTAGCTTTTCCTATATACATCAGTGCCTTACGGTATAAGTAGCGTGAAGTCGTAATAAACATTTTATAGCTGGTGATCCTAGAATTAAAAACAAGTAAAGAAAGAAACTTTTCAAAATAAGGATGTAAATGTAGGGATGGCTAATATCAATCCTTCATATACAATGTAGACAAGATGGTAGGGATGGCATTTGTATCATCCCTACATAATAGCGATATATATACCTATTCAATCACAGTTGAGTTTAATTTATCCTATTTTTGTCTGTTAACATTCTATTACACTGTGTACCTGTGCTATTATGTAGGGATGATGCAAATGCCATCCCTACCATCTTGTTTTTGAAGGATTGATATTAGCCATCCCTATATTTACTTCCTTTTTTTGAAAAGGTTTTTCTTTACTTGTTTTTTATTACAGTGTTTCAATAGACATATGAAAGTTGTACTTATAACCAAGTTCTAAGTACAATGAGGTTCCAACTGTAATATTTATTGTTTATTATTGGCTGGTAATTCGTGTTTCACCCTAAACTTAAGCTTTTGAAAGAAACACCAAATTTCTGTAAGAAAGCTAACTTTTAGGGGTAACGATAACATCGTTTACATAAGAATTGTGATTTTTTAAAATTACTACTAGCTAACTCCGTTTGAAACTACGCCACCTCAGTGAAATTGGTTGACACCATTGTTTTGGTTTTTGAGTTATCATGTAATAAAAAAGAAACAGAAGAAAGAAGAACAAGAAAGTCA